TGAATATCATTATAGTTTTTTTCCTTGCATTGTTTTTCTTTGAATAATTTTAATTTTTTATCTGTATGTGTTTAGTGAATGATAATAATTATAAATTAATAAAAAAGAATCAATCATGTAAAATATAGAAAATGTGAATCTATCTATAATGAATATGGAGGTTGAATCAGTCACTAAAATCCACCCTCCCCCAAAAAACACAAGACTAGATAGCTTCCTTAGTGAATCTTATCAAACATTTAAAGAATTCATGCCAATTTTTTTCAAAAAAATTTGATGAAAGAACACTACCAAACTGATTTTATGAGATCAACGTCACCCTGAGAACAAAGCCAGTGATAGACAACTGAAGAAAATAGAACTTATTATATAGATATTATTTTATCTATAGGTTAATATCCTGATGAGCATGGATACCAAACAATAAAAAAATTCTAGTTTTTAGAATCCAACATTAGATTAATAGTATAATACTTCACAGCCAACTGTGACACAAGGGTTATTCAACATATGAAAATCCATTAATGTGGCACCTATAATAACAGAATAAAGGAAGTAAATCACATGATATTCTCATTAGATATGGATAAAGTGTTTGGAAAAGTTCAATACCCTTTCATGATAAAAATCTCTGAACAAATGGAATATAAGGAAATGACCTCAGCATAATCAAGTTCATATATAAATAATCCCTACTCATTGTGGAAAATCTCTGTGCTTTCTTCTGAGATTAGAAACAAGGCAAGGATATTTGTTCCTACTGCTTCTACTCAAGATAGAATTATGAACCCTAACAAGAACAATTAAATGAGAAAAAAAAGACATCCAAATCTGAAAGAATTAGCATGTATATTTTTTCACAAATTACATGATGTCATGGGGTTAAAGCTGTGAAGAATAAATTAAAAACACTTCATACTAATCAGAGAATTCAATAAAGTCACAGGACACAAAAATTAGTTGCAATTCCTGAGAAGTAAACTAGGAAAACTAGCCCATTTACAATAGCATTAAAAATAGTAAATTGAATGCCTAGGAATAAATTTAGGAAGGAAGAGATTTGTATTGTGAAAACTACAAAATATCAATGAGAAAAATTAAATAAGAAACAAATGAATGGAAATCCTTCCCATGGTCATGCATTTGAAGAGTTATTCAATGTCATCTCTATGAATAGCCCAATTGCACATAGGGCTAAATGACATATTTTATAGGAATAGAAAAAACACTCATAAAATTTATATGGAATCACAAAAGCCTACAAATAGTCAAACCATAAAACTCCTAAAAGAAAACTATAGAAATACTAGAAGAAAACAGAAGAGGAAACTTGACTGACAGTGACAATACCAATGATTTTTTTTTTAATATGGCACACAAAACACAACAAAAGAAGAAAAAAATAAGACTAGATCAAACTAAAAATGATTTCATGGAGCAAAGGAGAAAAGAGTTTGAAAAGACAATCTATGGAATAAGAGAATATGTGTGTATATATGTACATATCTGATAAAGGGTTAATCACCAAAGAAAATAAAAAGTTCCCACAACTAAATAACAAAAAACAAAAATAAAATTACTAACCTGATTACAATATCAGTAAAGGACTAGCAAAAACATTTCTCCAAGGAGACATTCCAATGATAAACAGGTATAGAAAATTATGCTAAATATCTTTAATCATAAATGACATTCAGATAAAAAAATTACAAAGATCTCTTCATATCTGTCAAGATGACTGTTTTCCAAAACATTAAAACCAAGTGGTTTTGATGAAGATGTGGGAAAATTGGGGCCCTTGTGGTGTTTGTAGAAATGCTAAATTGTACAACCATTCTGAAAAATAGTGTGGATGCTCTTGAAAAATTAAAGAAAACCTATCATATAATACAGATGCCACACTTTTGTATATGTGTCCAAAAGAAATGAAATCAGGATCTTGAAAAAGTATTAACTGTCTTGTGTTCACTATCCACTCCTCAGTATCCAAGGTATGGAACAACATAAATGGTTTTCTATCATCTGAAGAACATTTTAGAACAATATATAGAGATACAAGATAAATAATGTTGAAAAGGCACCAATGTCCATTAATAGATGAATAGATAAAATGTGGTATACTCATACAATTGAATACTATTTTGCATTAGAAAGAAGGAAATTTCTGCAGTATAATATGCAATAAAATTGAGGAAATTTTTGGACATTATTCTAGGTGAAATAAACCATTCACAAAAGACAAATACTGAATAGTAAATAATCATATTTACTATGAGGTTTCTAAAATAATCAAATTCATATAGACCTGAATGAAATGGTGGTTACCAGGGGTGTGAGGAGAGAATGTAAGAAATTATTAATTGCTAGGTATAAAGTTTCAGTAAAGCAATATTAATAAATTCTAGAAACCTGTGATAAAACATTGAATCTCTGGGTCATAAATATGGGTCATTTATACAGAGGGTAAAGATCGTTACATCTTCTTATAAAAATAAAAAGTAAAAGAGTGAGAGACAGAGAGAAGAAAGCAGAATGAATTTTTTACTTTTGTAGCCTAGAATCTATAGAAAGGAAATAAGGAAAGAGGGGAGAGAAAAGGGAGGGAGAGGAAGAAAAGAGCCAAAAAAATTAAAGATGCTCAGATCAAAATTAGACAAGTTCCCTCTGGGGTCAGGTGCCACCCCGAAGTTTCACTGAATAACATCTATCTTACCACTGATTACAAATGTTTCAGATCCATGATTGAAATCTTAGTGGTTTTAATAATATGTTTGGGAAACTTCCACCTACTTTATTTTAAGAAAATGCATCAAATTTTTGTGCCCCATGATTAGGAGAATTTTGACAAAATGTTTAATAAATTCACAATCCGGAAAAGGATCAAATTACAAAAATAGCTTGAGCTTTCTATTATAATAAACTATAATACCTTGGCTTCCAGAGAACATATTGCTGTTGTTCCAGAAATAAGGTCAAATTGAGGGCATTCTGAAGAGACTGCCCCATTTGAGGAGAGCTGCCTCATCAGACGGTTTACTGAGAGATTTCATTTCAGAATGAGCACACTGTCATCCTCTACCATGTGCAAGTCCCTAAAATTGATATAAAAAGACTGAGAATAAAATGGTAACAAGGATTTTAGAGACATAATGTGGTATAACACCTAGGGAGAGATTCTTTGGTAAACTTGGTTGTGTCATAGGTGAAGATTTTGCCAGAAAAGTATAATATTTTGTGGGGTGTTCTAATCAAAAGTACCATGGAAATGTACAGGGTAGAAATATTTTATGCTAACAACATTGTGGAATTAGTGGACATTTCTTCATTTAAAAAAATCACCAGTACATTGGAAATAGTATTAAATAATATTGGTGCCAGGGATATACAAGCTCACATTTCCTAGAATATTTGTGGACTTTCCCAGGGAAATTTTTAGAAGCTTCCCAGAAGTGAAGAACAAAAGCAAGATCTTTGTAATATTGCTCTTTATCTCCTTAGTAAAAGAGAACTTGCAGACTGGGGGCTGTTAGCAGCTGATAGGGCCAGGTGCAGAAATTTAGTGCAAAGGTTTCTCCATAGGTGGGTGAGTGAAGAGATGAATTCTAAGGTCAGAAGCCTGGAAACCACTGAGATCTCAGGAGTGACAAGTGTTTATGGAGCCAGAAGAAGGAAACACACTGGGGCACTCGTGTTCCTGTACTTCTTGGTCACTACTAGTTATGAGCCTGATGAACAGGTTGGTTGACTTTCTTACTCAGGTGTCCAGGTAAAACTTTTGTGCTTTCCTCACAGCTGAGAGGGTTTTAAAACATCAAGAAACATTCCTTATGGAAAACATGTTGTCCAGTATATTGTTAAATTTTTATTAAAATCAATCATATGTGTGGCCACAAAGAAAACCAGTTTCATTTTTTAAAAGTAGACATCTTAAAAGCAAAATAACTAAATCATATGGGAAGTACATAAAAAGCTGATCTAAAAATCCTAACATTTGAGAATTTTAGAACAGATTCCTGGATAATTCTTGGATTCAAGATGAAATTCAAAGGAAATTGGCAAACTATATAGGAAATATATTCATACTATTCTTAACATACTGTGAAATTTCAAAGAAAAATTTATAACTTCTCATTTGAAAAATAAACCTTAATATTCACCCGAAGAAGTTGGGTCTAAGGATAATAAAACCCAAAATAAAACATTTATTAACATATATGTTATAATCATAATACAGTAATTATCTATGTATATATAATCCAAAAATGTATATATATGTATGTAAAATGAATATATCATTCATATGTATCCTATAGACATTAATTATAAATGTGTAACTATGAATGTACGTAGCTATAGATTTTTATAGGTAGGGTACTGATATAGATATTGATACAAATAATATAAGCAATGATGCATATAAAAAGTGTTTTTGTGAAAGATCTATAAAAGAGAATACTTTGGGAATTTGATTAAAACAAGCAAGTAGGAAAAAGGAAATGTAAATTATTGAAAATGATGAATAAGGTAACCAAATTTTTAACCCAATATTTTAGGAAAACCATTTTTAAGAATTTCTTCATTCTGTAACAATAAATATAAAAGATTTCTAAATGATGATTTCCTTGGTCATGATAAGCTAGAAAAAATATTGAAAAGTTTAAGAATTTCAAGTAAGCATTATTATAAATAATTTCTTAAGATAAAATGAAAATAAAAACTGAATTAACATTTCATATATATATATGTATATATATATATATATATATATATATGGAGAGAGAGTTCATATCAAAAAGCAGTGGGATATGGCTAAAACTCTACAGAAAAAAACTTTCTGGCTTTATTACTCAAAAATGTACATTTTTAAAAATTAAGACCTTGAAGTAAGCCACAAAAGAAATAAAGAAGTTTAGATGTAGTTAAGAACAACAAAAGTACTTGAGGGAACATAACCAAATATATAATATACAAAACCCAGAGCTCTTTATTTCCAAATAAATAGAATACAGAAAATTCTGGCAAGAATTTTTAGCTGAAAAAATAATTATATAGCATAAAATATTTAAATATATACCCTCAGGTATGGAAAATATTTAAATAATTTTGAATACATCATGTATGTTTTTCTGGCAGTAAACTTTGTCATACAGAAGAAATGGCATGTTTTCTATCTAAATATAGAAAACACTCTGAAATTTGCTGAAGAGGCAGGAGTAGGATATATGAGCCAGGGGTTCTCAAACAAAGTGTGTATCAGAATCATGCAAAGGTTTTCTCGTATTGCCAGATTGCTTGTTGCAGCATCCACATTTTGTCATTCAAATGAGGATCCCAAATTTTTTGTCAAAATTGAAGAACTGCTGTTCTCTGCATGTAACTGAAAGGGAAAAGTAAAATTTTGTTAAAGAACTCCTAAAGGTGAGGTATATTCAATGTGCCCTTCACGGTACAAATAATCCTCATTTAAAAAAGAATTTTCAGAGTACAGATTAAAGTGTGAAGTTTTCCCAATTTATTTAACATAGCTAGCAAAACTCAATATAAACATTTTATAAATATGCCCCCAAAGAAAAATTATGTGTAAATATAAATATAAAATTCACACACAAAAAACTAGCAAATATGTTCAAATATTATATTTAAGAACAAACACTTGTTGATCAAGTAGAGTTTGTTTCAAGAAAGCAAAAATCAGTCAAAATTTGTACAGTTACTGAATTTTAAAAAATGAGGGTTGCTATTTTTTATAATTAAAAACTAATTAGAAAAAGTATGCAAGATATTCTATAAATGATTTGTTAATTACATCAATTATGGCATCCTGGAGACATTCCAAATAACACCAGAAAGAGGACAAAACTTTTCTATGATTATTCCAGTCAACACTTCTATAAGTGAGCTAAATGCATGAGGAAAAATTTAAATGTCATTTAAATATTGAAATATAAGAGACAAGGTTTTTAGTATATGAAGGTGATATACAACCATAGTAAATTGCATAAAATAAAACTAGAACTAGTAAAAGCAATACATGGTGATGAATATTAAGTAGATATCTTTTTAAAACCTGTAACTTTCCTTTATATTTTGATTTATTATGATGAATCAAATTTAGTTGACAATATCAGGAAATCTATAAAATGCCAAACTTCAGTTTTAATAAGAAGAAAATGCATTTTACATGGGGAAAACTAATATTATGCAAAGTTATAAATAAGACTTCAATCTTAGAACTTACCTGATTTTTCTATAAGAGAAGATGCAATATTATTAACAGATCAGGTCTTTCCAAATTAATTTACACATTTAGTCCATTGCTATTGAGAATTCTAATAGGGTTGCTGGTGGTTGCTTTTGATTAATTGTAGTTTGCAGTTGAACAAAGATGCCATTATCATTTTCTGAAATAATTAATGTGCTGCAGTGGTCTATTCCCTTGCCAAGTACTACATATTGCCAAGTTAGTTGAACTAAAATAGAGTGACACAAAAATACATAAATATCTCTGAATACAAAATTAAACTGAACAATAAACTACATATATGCAAAGAATATAATATTTGGTAGATTTTGATAATTTAGATCATTGTGTGGGATGAAAGGCATGATAAATTATGATTTTTTAAATTTTTTTTGTACCGGGGTTCGAACTTGGGACATTGTGATTGCAAGGCAGGTGTCATGCCACTGAGCTAAATACCCAGCACTCGGCATGATAAATTATGTGACAGAATTGTTTATTCATGTGAATGAAAATGAACTCATTTTGCTATTTCATATTCATGTGAAATATATATCAACTAGATTAAAAATACAAGTGGAAGCAATATACCAGAAGATATTATAAGAAAATATAAAAGAATATTACTATCACTTTGAAGCAGAAGAAACTTGTCCTAGGCAAACAGGAAATTTCCAACCCTGAAGGGAAGAGGAATTGCAGTTAAGGTTTCTTAGTCTTGGCATAAATTTTTTTTTTTAATCATGGCTAATTGGAGTTCTATATGCCTCACTTGTCTGAATGTCCAATTCTCCACCTCTGTCTGGGAAGTTTTCTACTATTACTTCTGTGAACAGGTTTTTTTATGTCAATTGTATTTTCTCCTGTTTTTTCATGGATTCTTATCAGTCTTATGTTATTCTTCCTTTCATCATCTAGCAGCTGCTGGATTGATTTCTCATGGTCCCCTACTATTTTTAAGAAATCTCTGTTTTCATGGTCCTTCACTGCAATCCTGTCTTCTATATCTGATATTCTATCTTCAGATTCCCTCAATCTGCTATGCATGGTTACAATGGAGTTTTTAATCTCTTGAATTTCTGTTTGAATCTGTTTCATGGATTCCATTTCTTTGTTATGTTGGTTGATCATGGTTTCTATTTCTTTCTTACACTGGCCATTCATGGCTTCCAGCATATTTCTGAGCTCATCTATTTTTTTTTTTTTTATCTTTTTCTGTTCTAGTGCCTCTAATTATGTCTTTCACTCTACTCACTCTCTCTGTAGTTATCTGGGAGATTATTTCTGCTTTGAATTTTTCTAGCACCTCATTCATCTGTTTTGTTACTACCTGTGCCATCAGTTCAGGGTGTCCAGGTGGTTGATTATCAGACTTTTCCACCTTATTTTCCCCAGAAATTGCCTTTTGTGGGGTGGAAGCTTGGGTTTGTGACTTGCTTAAATGTCTTTTCATTTTCTGTTTTTGATACAGTCAGTTATAAGTCAATGAGTCCCAGTAAGCCAGTCACAGACTCCTGAGATTCAGACAGGCTCATGGCTGCAAGTCAAAAATTGAGCTCCCCGCCTTCCCGCAGGGCCGAAGTCCTCAAGTCTCTACTACAGGTTCCAGCTGTCTTTCCCTCCGAAAATAGTCCAGGATCAAATGGGAGGTGATGATCCCTCCAACTTACCAAGTATGGCTGTCTGATGTGCCTATATCACAGATTCTCTTCACTTTTCCAGTGGGCTTCAGCTATCATCAGGGAGCCTGAGAGAGGACCTCTCTCTGCTGTTCACCTGTGGAACTCAGGACAATGCCTTTTATGACCGCGCCCCCCCCCATGCCTCTGTAGTGTGGAACCGGGTAGCTGCAGAGCCAAGAAGCCAGAGGTGGGGTGGGGCGGGGGTGGGGGTGGG